GAGAGAAAATACAAATGCCAAGCGCGATGACACGTGCCTGTAATCCCAGAATTTGGGAGGCTGAGACAAAAGGATGGGAACTTGAGTCCAGCCTGAATTACAGAGAAAGACCCTGTCTCAAAAAACAAAAACAAAAACAAAAAAGAGAAGTAACAGAATTAAAGACTATATATTATAGCAATACATGCATACCCGTGTTTACAGCAACACAACTCATCATAGCTAAATCCTGGAAGCAGCCTATATGCCAGTTAACAGATGAATGGGTAAGGAAAACGTGGTGTTTTCATATGAAGGAGTATATACGTTGCCACAAAGAGGGATAAGTGTGAGTCATTTATAGGAAAATGATGCACCTTGAGACCATAACGTTAGTGAAATAAATCAAACACATGGTTTCTCTTATATAAGAAACCTGAAATATAAATGTAGAGCAAAACACAAGATAAGAAACAGAGAGACAGGTCTTTTGCAAATGAGAAGAGGACCAAGAGTTGGAGGGGCTGGGAGGGAAGGAAGGGAGAAGGCCATAAAAAGATGCGCTATGTGCATGTACCAACTCATCAAGATGACTGCAATCAAATGTGCTGCAAACACATACTAATGAAAACTTTAAAAAGAAATAGGCAAATGGATCAAGAGGACAGGATAGAGACCCCAGAATAATAGATCTGTTTTAATATGGTCAATAGGGGGGGCTGGGGAGATGGCTCAGTAGAATAAGCGTTTGCCTGAGAAGTGCAAGGGCCTGAGTTCAACCCTTGGTTCTGCCAAAAGCAAAAAAACAAAAAACAGGTCTTTCTAGGGGACTTATGTAATACAATGGAACAAGACAGGTTTTTTTCAACAAATGGCACTAGAACAACCCCCACCCCCAAGTCACAAATCTAGACACAGACCATATGTCCTTCATGCAAGTTAACTCAAAAGGAATCATGGATTTGTTTCTTTTATTTATTTATTTATTTATTTATTTATTTTCTGACAGAAACGGGGATGGAATTCAGGCCCTTGCGCTTGCCAGGAAAGCGCTTATTCTACTGAGCCATCTCCCCGGCCCCTGAATCATAGATTTGAATGGAAAACACAAAACTATAAAATTCTTAGAATAGGAAAAAAGTCCAATTTGAGGCACAGAGATAACTTTAGATACAAACACCAAAGGGACAATCCTCGGAGAAAATAATTAGTAAGCTGAACTTCAATAAAATTAAAAAGTTTAGGACTATGAAAGATAATGTCCAGAGAATGAGAAGCCACAGAAAATATTTATAAAACATATATCTGATAAAGGACTATCATCCAAATATCCAAACAACTGTTAAAGGTCAAACCATAAGAAAACAACGGAATTTTGAAAGCTGGAGAACAGGCTGGGAGTATCTATCGCTTTGGTGGGCGCTGTGATGAAGCTCTACTGTGAGTAAGGCTGTGCTTTGATCCCCAGAACTTTGAAAATATTGAGCAACAGGGCAGGGTTGTTGCACATACTTGTAATTCCAGTTCTCTGGGAGGCTGCAGGCCAAAAGCAGCCCAGGCAAATTTACAGCCTAGCAAGACACTGTCTAAAAGGGAGGTGGGGGTTGGGACGGAGATGCAGCACAGCACAAAGCTGCAGGGTTCAGTTCCTAGTGGTGCAAAATAAACTAGCTAATAATAAATAAAAATGAATGTTAAAAGCTGGGCATGGTCACCATGCCCATAGTACCAGCTAGATTGGGAGGCTGAAGCAAGAGGACTACTTGATCTTAGGAGTTAGGGAACATAGCAAGAACCTACCAAACAAAACAAAACACAAACCCTGAACAGACACCTCACCAAACAAGATATACAAATGAGAAGCAAGCATATACAAGACATTCAGTTGGACCTGTCATTGGAGAATTGCACATTTCAACAGCTCCCGATGTTAGCTGCCCTTAATGCCTGCGGCCCGCAGCTGCCAGCCTGGGCCTGGAGCCCTTGGAGCTGCTACGAGAGCTCACTGCTGTCTGGCTGCCCTCAAGGTTAGCAGCTTAATGGCCCCAGCTGCGGGCTGCCTCGGTGCAAAGAAAGGTCCTGAGGGTTTCCAACTGAGGGCAGCCAGCTCACCCGCTCTTCTCAAGATAAAAATTGCAGCAGGCAAAATAAAACCTGAAGGAGCCTTTCCGAGGTCTGCTGCAGCCCTGGAACAGGAGGCGGTACACAGGCTGCTTTCACCAGGTGACAGTTCAGCCGCGTGTACAAAGGGGTACCAAGTGCTTGCTGTGCCCACACACCCTTGCTGTTATGAGTGGGAGAGGGGTCCTTGGGGGTTCGAGTGGGGGCCAGAAGCATACAGAGGCTGAATGGAGGAACCGCCAGAGGTGCTCAAGGGGCATCTGATGTAGCAGTAATGCGCTGGGCCTCTTTTTCTTCTCTTACCACAGAACCTAGCTAGCACACCCTTTGTAGAGCCTAACGCGTAAACTGCTATGCTCTCTCTCCTAGCACACCCTCTGGTATCCACACAACTCACTGAAAAGTTCTGTTGACAACAAAAACCTGTACACACGTTTACAGTAATTTTCTTTTATTGCCAAAGCACAGAAGCAAACAAGCTGTCCTTCAGTAGGTGATGGGTAAGTAAACTGGTTCAACTACGTGATGGTTTACCATTGAGCAAGTTTTTTAAAAATGAGCTTGGTGGCACACAACCGTAATCCCAACACTGGAGAAGGCTGCAGTATGAGGATCACAAGTTTGAATGCAGCCTGGGCATCTTAATGATTTAGCGACACCCTATTTTGAAAAAAACAATTAAAAAGGGCTTGGATGTAGCTCAGTGTGAAGACCCTGGGTTCAATCCCCATTATTTTTTAAAAAAAAAAAAAAAAAGAAGAGTGGTGGTACATGCCTGTAATCCCAGCACTCAGGAACCCGAGGCAAAAGGGTCAGAGTAAGTCTAAGGCAGCCTTATTATATAGCAAAAGACTTTCTCTAAAAAACAAAAACAAGTGAAAGAAACTAAAGAGAAAAGGCTCCAGCTGTGACTCCAACTATATGACATGTGACACAGGCAAAACCATCGAGACTAAAATGACCAGTGTTCGCCAAGAGTTGGTGGGGAGAAGGGCTGGACAGGTGGTGCACAGGAAGATTTTTAGGGCCCTGACGGCAGGATACTGTCATGACAGACACATTATAGAGGTCATAGCCAGGCATAGTAGTGCACACCTGTAATCCCAGCACTCGGGAGACTGAGGCAGGAGGATCATTTGGAGTTTGAGACCAGCCTGGGCTACAAAGTGAGCTCAAGGCCAGCTTAAACTGCATCGTGAGACCCTGTTTCAAAAAAAAAAAAAAAAAAATAAAGTCATAAAGCATGGCCAGACACACATCTGTAAATTTCAGCACTTGAGAGGCTGAGGCAGGAAGATCATTACCAGTTGGAGGCTACCTCAGCTACATAGTTCAAGACCAGTGTCTTTAGAGAACCTGTTGGAGGAGGAGGAGGAGAGGGAGCAGGAAGAGGATAAAATTGGGGAGGGGGGAGGAGGAGAAAGAGGAGAAGAGTAGGAGGAGGAATTTATAACGTGCACTACATCAAGGATGAATTCTAACATACATTATGGATTTTAGTGTCAATGCAGACTCCTCAGTTGTAATAGGACCCCTCAGGTGCAGGATGCTGAGAATGAGAGGTTGTGCATATGTTGAAGGCAGGGGGTATGTGGGACCTCTCTATATTATTTGGATTTTGTCACTGTTTTTCTTTTTGCAATACTGGGGACTGAACCAGGACCTCATGCATGATAGACAAGTGCTCTACCACTGATCAATATCCCCAGCCCAAAAAGATGGTCTAAGGCAGGCATAGTGGTGCATAATTGAAATCCTAGCACACCAAGAAGCTGAAGCTGGCAGATCAAAAGTTCAAGTCTACTCTGGGCAACTTGGTAACTTAGTGAGACCCTGTCAAAAAATAAAAGAGGGGCCAGGGAGATAGCTCAGCAGAATAAGTGCTTGACTGGCAAGCTCAGGGTCCTGAGTTTGATCCCTGGTCCCCGCAAAATAAATAAATAAATAAAAATAAAACAAAAAAAAATTTTTAAAAAACAGAAAAAAAAATAAATAAAACAGGAAAAAAAAAAAAAAGTTGGAGGTTTAGTGAATACCCTGGGTTCAATTGCCAGCATTACCAAAAAAGAAAAGGGAAGGGGGATGCTATGTAAGAAAGAAAAATTAAGACCACTTTAACTACAAAAATAGAGCAGTGGGGCTGGTGAGATAGCTCAGTGGTCTAAAGCACCTACTTAGAACAAACTTAGCAAAGCACAGGGACCGCGGTTCAATCCCCCAGCACCACATGCCAGCCAGCCCCGTCCCCTGGTGGGCTGAGCTGGACACACACACACACACACACAAATAAATTTTAAAAAATAGAGCAGTAAGGGCCAGTGAGATAGCTCAGGGGACTAAATGCCTGCTTAGGCAAGAGCAGGGACCAGGGTTTGAACCCTGGCACAAGCCATGCCAGCTCCACCCCCGCATGCACGCCAAGTGGACCACCAAGACCAGGTGTGGTGGTGCACGCCTATAATCCCAGCACTTAGGAGGCTGAAAACAGGAGGATCACTATGAGTCTGAGCTGCATAGTGAGACCCTGTACCAAATACACTTAAAAAAAAAAAAAAGATGTAAGATGTCACGAGCCATACTGGACAAGTAGGTCTTGCTTATCATGTTTATAATATGTGCATAGCTGTGTAGAGGGAAGATTAGGCCTTTGGGGATGCCAGGAAGATCCAATGACCCAGGCCCCAGCCTGGGGCTCCCCACACTGCTGGTAACCCATGACAAAGGCCTGCCTCCTCCCTCCAGGTGAGGCCCCTGTCCAGGCTCCACTGTCCTCCTGCTATCTTCCTGTCACCTGGAAGTGCCCTGGCTTCAATGCCAGCTCTGCTCTCAGGTGGCTGAGGGGCATGGGGCTTGGCAGGGCTCCTGGGGGAGCCTAGAGTAACAACTCCGGGCCTTGCACTTTCCAGGCAGCCACTGCACTGCTGAACTTCATCCCCAGCTAAATCCTGGCTCCTTCCCTGGGCCCTCCTAGAGGCGTCCTTCCATGTAGGGCCTTCAGGCTCTTTTGAGCTCAGGTTCAGGGATGCTCCAGCCATGCTGCTGTGTGGCTTTCAGCCTAGCGTTATCTCCCTAGAACTAGACATCTCTACAGCCTGTTGAGCACCCAGTGGGTACCAGCCAGGCAGCTGCAGGAACGTGAGACACACACGAGTTGTGGTGGAAACCAGGCTACGGGTGCTGGGGTGGAGGCCAGAACATGCAGAAAGGTCACTGGGAGAATTCTTGGGCTGAAGGACACCAGCAAGCAAACTGGCAGGCAAGAGATGGGTCCACCCCTGCACCTGACCACCAGGAGGCCTGTCCTGCCCGTGCCAAGAAAGCCTCACCTTGGTAGTAACAGAAATCAGGAGAATGGATGTAAACAAGTTCTTTTCTCAACTTTTTCAGTACTGGAGATTGAACCCAGGGCTTAGACATTGAGCTACAGACCCTGCTCTTTGTATTTCTTGTGAGACTGGGTCTCAATAAGTCATTAAATTACCCAGGTCAGAGACAAACCTCTGATCCTCACCCTCCCAGAGTGCTGGGGTTACAGACATGCACTACCATGCCCAGCTCAGCTGAGTGATCTGAAAGCGCCACTAGAAACTACTGATTAAAGACTTAATGGCTGGCGTTAGTGTCCCAGTCACATCCCCTCGGGTCTCACTGCAGTGCAGCAGGCACGGCTCCACAACTGAAGGTGTTTTCTGAGGACAGAGCGAGCCAGGGAATGGTTGGCAAGGCCACAAGGGGCTGAAGGGAGAGGGCAGACGCTCAGCCCTCACCACCTCACCTCTCAGGGGAGGGCCTTCAGAGGCGACTGCGGTACATTGGTCTGGGCGAAGGACTGCACTCCTGCCTGTTTGCAGGCTAGACAACACACGTGAAGGCTGCCCCCACTTCCAGCTTCCCGGGAGTAGCTCAGAGCAGTCACCCATGCCTGATCCTGGCTTGGGCTGTTCTCAGGGATGCATGCTAACCAGCTACCTGTGACACACATTTGCTAGAGGAAGCAGGTGCCCATTCAAAGGAGGCACATAAGGAAAGAGAGGTGGGCTGTGGTACAAAAACAGAGGCCTCCCAAGAAGTCTCTTAGGGGACTCTGCAGCATAAAGCAATGGCACCTGGCCAGAGCGAGCTTCTTACCCACAGGAGCAGAGTGCAATCATCCAACTCACAGGACGAGAGGTGAGCTCACACAGCCAGCACTTTTAATAGAAAACACGACAGACAACATCATCCAGGCATTTGGCTGTGGCAAATGAGGAAAGCCATGGAGTATGTCCTCTCACTGGACAAAATCCCCCAAGATGTTGCCTAAGGGGATTAAAGGCAGGGACCAAGGCCTGCCACAGTGCCAAACAACTCCCACTGTAAAGGGGGAATCTCAGGAACCCCTTTTGTGGAAAGGTGATTTAGGCTTTGGGATGGGGCAAGTTCCAGGCAGTTCTTCCTGGCTGGGGCTGGGGTCAAGGCCTGGCATGGCCAGCACACCAGTGGCTGGAGTCACTGGGCAGCTCTGGGCTCAGGATGTGCTATGATCCCACTGACCCAAAAACAGGCAGAGCCCCTCACACTGCTGTTCAGACTCCTTGCTACCAGTTTGTCGCAGCCAGGGTCCTGGGTGTGGGCACAACAGGGAGGGTGGAAGGCTGGGCTGAGCAAACAGCACGCTTCCCTTCATGTGTGTGCAATCCTTGCTCTCTCCTTACCCTTGGGGGAAGCCCATGCCAGCAAGGATCAGCGGGGCCAGGCAGCACTGAATTCCTTCTCTAGAGCCTGGACAAACTGGTCATTGAGGAAGAGTAGCTGGCCATGGGGCAGAAAGCGGGAGAGGATGCCCTCGATGTGGTCAGCCCGCAGCAGGAGGCTGGAGCCTGGAGCCAGCAGGCGGAGATGGTCCAGGAGGAGGCGGGCTAGTAGGCGGAGTGTGCTCTCGGCCAGCAGCAAGTTGTCATGGGAGTCGAGCACCAGGGCAAAGCCTAGGGACAACACTCCCAGCCACACCACAGTCCGAGGCTCCTGGAAGGGGTCCCCAGCTGCCAGCCCGAACACCCCACGTGGGGCATCCTGCAGGGGCACAGGTTCGTCGGAGGTTGGGGCCTGCAGGTCCAAGGGTGGGCGGCCTGATGCCAGCTGCTGAAGCTGGCACATCGACTCCACCTGCCTGGGGCAAGGGGAAAGGTCAGGTTGAAGGAGCCCCCACACCAACTTCGGTCCTCATCACAACACCACCAGAATGGGGAACTGCCCTCATCACCAGATCTCAGGCAAAAAGCAGGCTCAGAGAGACTAAGTGATCAGCCCGGGGCCACACACCACGAAAGGTGACCCCACTTGGGAATGAAGTCCTCAGCCTGAGAGCCCTGACCCACCCTTACTCCATGGAGCCAGAACGCAGGTTCTGAACCCAGTGCCTTGGACAGGAAAAGTGACCCAGAGGAAGAAAAGCCACCCCCACTGCCTGCCTCACAGGGTCAGTGCCAACACTCAGCCTGTCCAACCAGCCTGCCCGCTCTCATCCCTTCCCACACCCCTCTGAGTAAAGGGGAACTTCACCCTTCCCTGTGACCCTCAGGGCTTTTT